CGGAAAGGGGAATTAAAATAAAACGATAACTTATCTCAGAAGACCTTATCAAACTGAGATAAATGTAATCAATTAGAGACAAACTCAGCTAGAGAGAGAAGACAGGTATAATAACAGAAATTTTGGTTAGGTGTTCCGGGGGTCACACCTGGCAGTATGGGAGGGGCAAAAGGCTACTCTCAATAGTGCAGGGAATTGGGGCTCGCAGTGATCCAGGGCCTCTGCACATTTAAGGGGTTACACTCTGACCCACATCCCAACCCCAACAAGGAATTTTGACATAGTTCATTAAAGGATTCATTCCCCATCATCAATCAAACCTTCAATGAAAACATGTCAAGTAATAATACTTTATGACAAATGTAAACTATCTACTATATTGATAACTTTTAATCTACATATGCCCACTTTTAAAGAAAAATTAAAATTTCAACAATCAATTCTAAACTGAAATTTAAACTGACTGGACAATACTCAAGAGACTTATTTTAAGTTATACAACATCTTTTCTCTCATTAAATTATATTTTATGTAGTATATAAAGTAGTTTTTTGATGACAATCACCACACTGTTAATGGAATTAATGGAAAAAGCAATTTCCTCTTAAAAGTTCTTTAACCCTCTTTCCACTGAGTTAATGCTCAACAATTTATGCAACTGAAAGAAAATTTAAAGACATGAATAAAGACCAAATTTTCAGATCAGGGTATAGCAAAGTTAGATAATTCATTCTGACAAAAATCTGCTTTATTTGAAACAAATTAAAGATACTCCCCCTGATTTACAGAGGAAGCCTTAGACTACAGGTAACAATATTTACAGTGTGCACATGTCTGTGCCACCTGCCTTTAAAAACAGAGACACTGAGATGATAGCAGCATACAATTATTCTCCTACATCATCAATAAAACTGTTCTCACAGTCTAGAGTACATCAACTTAAAAAGTCAAACAGATTTAAGGTATAAACTGGCACGAGCACTTTGGAAAATGTAGTATTATAGTTAATTTAAAAATAAGAATTCTTTCGCTCACAAACTACGCTATTTCTGAGTAGACATTTGGTTTAATCTAAACCTTTCTTAACAATATTGTATTTTCATGGGAATAAACAATGAAAACTGGTAATTTCATTTGGTTTGGTTTTGATTTCTGGTCCTCACCCAGCGGCACCCTGGAGCTACTAATGACTGTGCTCAGGTGGTGATGAGAGACCTTATACAGTGCGGAGGACAGAATGGGGGTTGGCACAATGCAAGACAAACATCCTAACACCTGTTTTCTCTCTCCAGCCCCTTATAATCTTTTTTTAAAGTGCAGAAGTTTTAAGTAGGTACATTACCAAAGATCTATGGGTAGCATATAAGCCCATCAGAAAGATTCTCAGCATCCTGAATCACAGGAAAATGAAAAAAATGTTTAAATGATGATCTGTCACTATCAAATATATACAATAGCTACAATAAAAACAAAAAATTGTCAGTACCAAATGCTGCTGAGAATATAAAACTACAACTTTCATGCATTTCTGGCAAGAGTGCAAAATGATACAATCAATCTGTAAAATAGTTTGGTTGTTTCTTGTAAAGATGCATATACATTTGCCCTATGAGCGGGCGATGCCACTAGAAGTGGGATATATTCAAGAGAAATAAAAAATTCTGCTCACACAAAATGTACGGGAATGTTTGAGATTTTTCTTATAATCACCGAAAGCTGGAAACAACTGAAAGTATTTCATATGATTAATGGATAAAGTGTGGTAGAACCATACCATGGAATACTCCATAGCAGTAAGAAGTAACTAATGACACATGGATAAATCTTAACTGTTATACAAATGAAATAAAGTAAGCTCGAAAGAGTGTATCTGATTGGGCTTCCACTGCTGACAGAGATCACAACTGATCTCGGAGAGACACCAGCAGCTGAATGATCTCAGGTGTGCCCCACTGAAACTGGGCCAAGATCTCTCGACCCTAGGCAAGATGCCCCCAGTAGGGAGCAGACAAGTCCCCACCTTGCGGAAGGTCCAGGGTTCCACCCACCCACATCCTGCTACAGCTACTGTCAGAGTAAAGGTCCCGCTTCACGACTTTGAGAGATGCTGGTGGGTGATTATCCCAGCTCCAAAACTCCCGACGGGTGCTGCTACATATGAGGCCGCACAGAGCCAAACTTCAGAGCTGATAGCACAGTAAAAGCACAGAAAATCAGATGGGAAAATTGAGTAGAAACCCATTAAGCTTAATGAATGAAAACAATAACACAGAAGGCTCGACTAGCACAGTAAATCTTCAATCGTGACTTTAGCAACACCATTACAAGATATACGTTATAACAAGGAATGTACAACATTGGAGGCTGGGTGGGAGACTGGGGAAACTTGATGGGACTGGTTTTGGAATACTGAATACCTAAAACAACTGTATTGTGAACAACTTTGTAAAGCACGGTGTTTAAATAAAGTTTCATTCAACGCAAAAAAAGAGAGACTACATTCCGCATAATTGCATTGATACAATAAACTGGAAGGGTAAAACTATAGGAACACAACACAGATCAGTAATTGCTAAAGGCTGGGTATAAAAAAGAATGAACTACTAATAGATAAGGGATTAATAGAGAGATAAGGAATAGATAGATAAGGAATAGATAAGGAATTCATTTGTCAAAAATCATAAAACTGCATCATAAAGGGTGAATATTATATATGTAAATTATACTACAATTTTAAAAAATCAGCCATTTTGTCTATTTTATAGGTTACTGACGATGACTTATGGAAAAGAAACCTTTTTTTTTTTTTTTTGTCTTTGGGCCGATTTGCTCGAGCGGGCCCAGTAACGTCTCCATTGGAGACTTTGGTGTTACTGTGTCCGGCATATCGAATACTCTCGATTCGCTCCAGCACAGCGGGTAGGGCGTCTGCCTTGCACGCAGCCAACATGGCCGACCCGAGTTCGATTCCTCCGCCCCTCTCGGAGAGCCCGGCATGCTACCGAGAGTATTCGATATGCCAGACACAGTAACAACAAAGTCTCCAATGGAGACGTTACTGGGCCCGCTCGAGCAAATCGACGATCAACGGGAGGGCCTTTTACCTTGACCTTGTCTTTGGGTCACAGCTGTCTGTGCTCCTGGCTTTGCACTTAAGAATCATTCCTAACAGGCTAGGGGAACCACATGGGATATCAGGGATCGAATCTGGATCAGCCATGTGCAAGCGAGTGCTGGTATTATCATTCCAGCCCCAGGAAAAGAAACTTCTTTCCATCATGCATGCAATCTGTCAATTCATCACCCTCCTCATTTTTTGTGGACTTTTATTCTTTAAGGCATATTCTCTGTCTTGACAGAGATCATAAATGTATACAGAAAACAAGTTATAGTAAATTACTGAAAGGAGATAGGGAAAACAACTTTGAGTGATCAATCATAAAATAAAGTTCATATCAGCTAAGGAGAAAGGAAGGAATGTAGGAAGGGAGGTAGGAATTCCCTTTTGCCAAAAGTTGTGAGAAACCAATGGTACACAATTTTGGAAAAACCATGGTGCTTCCCAACACCGTTATTTTTATCTCTAATTTTTAAATGAAAAGTCTATGAACTGTGAAGTACAATTATTTGTCCCTAATCCCTCCGCTACTGAGATTCTGACCCGAAAACCTGAGATCTTTTTGGGGAGAGGGGCCAGAGCACTGGGTCCACCCCAAGCGGTTCTTGGGCAACCAGATCCGGATTCAATTCTGGGGCCAGAGGATGCGGTGCCTGCCTTGTGGAGCTGGGGACTGGGACCATAATTGCTGGAGGGCCTCTGTGGCTACATTAAAGATGCTGGAGGAGGGCGGTGGATGGGGGATGCGGGTGGATGGTTTGCTGCCTGCGGTTGAACCCGAGTCCCTTTTGTAATCTGTCCGAACCAGCCTCAAATCTTTTGACAGCTTGGAGACACGAGGTCACGGCGTTTCAAAGGCTAACACCCCTAAATATCACTTCTTTGCAGATATCCAAAATGCTAGCATCTCAGTGGTTCGAGTTCGCTTCTAAAACTACGTGCAACCAAATGGAGGGTGTCTGGAGGATCCTCCCAGGAGGGGAGATGCATGTTGAAAGTAGACTATGGACTGAACACGATTGCCACTCAATGCCTCTTTTGCAGACCACAACACCCAAAAGGAGAGAGAGGACAAAAGGAAATGCCCTGCCACAGTGGCAGGGTGGGATGGGGGAGATGGGGGGTGGGAGGGATACTGGGATCCGTGGTGGTGGGAAATGGGCACTGGTGGAGGGATGGGTATTTGATCATGGTATGACCGAAACCCAAGCACAAAAATTTGTAAATCTACAACTGTACCTCCTGGTGTTTCACTAATAAAAAATAAATTTAAAAAAATAACAAAAATAAAAACTGCGTGCAAACTAGAATCAGGACTCATGGGGAAAGGAACTTGGAACTCCAGGGCGATCTAAGACCCCCAACCCCCACCTACCCCTGCCAGTGTGCAGGGACCCACACCCCGCAGCTGTGAGTGTGATTCGGAAGGAGCGGTCTCAGGGAGCCAAGGAAGAAGGTGGGCGACAGGAAAGCCGGGGCGCTTGAGCTGCTTGAGCTTCCATGACTCCAGCAGGACCAACGGGTCGCCAAGGAGAGGAAAGGCCACTTGCCGGCCTCTCTCCGAGGCCTGCGCCCTTGGAAGACCTCGAGGTCCCTGAGACCTCAGGGTCCGGCCCCAGGAAGAGAACAGGGTGCAGGGGGCTCGGCCCCAGGAAGAAAACTGGGTGCAGGGGGCTCGGCCCCGGGAGGACAGCGGGGTGCGCCAGGCGCAGGGACTGGGGCCCACTGCTTCAAGCAACTCCCCGCGACAGCCGCCCGGGTGGAAGGTGCAATCGGCCACACGCAGCGGGACTGGTCTGCTCGAGTGACAGCGCAAGTGTCGCACGTGGCGTCAGCGTCCAAGACTCTCCCGTGCACGCGCTGCCCTCGCTCGCTCTCTCACCTCTCCAGTTCTTGTACGACGGGACGTAGTAGTATTTGTTCCCCAGGTGGTCTGTGCCCACTTGCTCCCTCACCTCCTTTGACAGCGTCCTCCACAAGACGCGGAACAAATCCCGAGACCAGCCCATGCTGCCAGCCCCGCGCACCGAGCGGGCGGCCGCCAAACTCGCAGCCGCCGGCCACCCGCCGCCGCCCCGCCCCCTGCGCGGAGGACTTCCGGCATCGCATCGCGGCCTCCTAGGAACGGCGCTGGCTATTGGTCGGGTGGCGCCAGGACCGGGCCAATGGGAGGCGCTGTTGTTTTAGCCCCGCCTCCGAGGTCTGTCATGGCGGCGCCCAGCGGACGAGCCGGCGCGGAGGAAAGGAATGCTAGGGTTCTTGGTGGCGCGACAAGCGGGTTTGGACGACCCGCTTCGCCTGCGGAGGGCGGAGTCCACCCGGAGGTAAAGCCCACCTTCCCTTCCCGTCCCCTCGGTGCTCCCGTAAAATCCGGGGCGAATGGCCGCGTTAGCCCCCGTGGCTCCGCGTGCAAACTGGGGGGCCTTTTCCGTGATTGCAGGCAGGTGGGCGCTCGCGCGGTCCACGCACGGGGTGGGCACTGTGAACTTCAGTGGCACTTTGCTCTTTCTTTCTCGAATTGGTGGGGCAGGACTGAACCAGAGAGTTGGGGAGCGGGGTGGGTGGGTGGTGAGGTTTCGATTGGAGATCAAACGAGACAGGTAGGGGGAGACCCACGGAGGGGGAGGAGGCTCGCGTGCTCGGCCCAAAGGAATCGGGATGCTGGAGGCTGAACTTGGACTTGCACTTCACTCGCTCGGCGGCTGCACCGGAGAGGAGAGCGGGAGTGGGGGCACGAGTGAGGGAGTTTGCAGTTCCCCAGCTGAGGTTGATGGAAGCCTGCGTACACCCGGACGCTTGCAACTGGGATGCGGAGGGTGGAAAAAAATGTTTTTTTTGGACTTTCTTAAGAAATTGAATCAAGTAGCCAAGGAAATTGATTGGAAGGGAGGAGTCACCGATGGCTCGCGGTATGTTGTGCCTTGTATGGCAGGGTGAATAATGGTTCCTTTTCTTTTCCTTTTTTTTTTTTTTTGTTTTTGTTTTTTGCTTTTTGGGTCACAACTGGCAATGCACAGGGGTTATTCCTGGCTCATGCACTCAGGAATCACTCCTGGCGGTGCTCAGGGGACCATATGGGATGCTGGGAATCGAACCCGGGTCGGCCGCGTGCAAGGCAAACGCCCTCCCCGCTGTGCCACCGCTCCAGTCCCTCCTTTTCTTTTCAGATATAACTTGGGAACAAGTTATATTTTAACTTTGCCCACATCGCTTACCAAAAAAACTTGTGAGGCTTTTACTTGAAGATTGAAGGAGACCCAGATGCAGAGATGTTCATTATTCCGGAAAAATTTATATATCTTGACTGCAAATGTTAAGAAGACAGGCGATTTCAGTGATAAAAACCCGCGAGACATCAACACAGGGTTAGCAGATGAGGCTGCAAATTAACTGAGGAGTAGCCATCAGGCAACTGCTGAAGCTGGATGCCTGGAGAAGACTGTGTGGCGTGGTCAAACGTGTTAGTTTGCTGCCCCCAAACTCCTGTCTCTGCTTTCTTTTCCACCCCATTTCTCTGCTCTCTGTTTATCATTCAACTTATTACAAATGAAATTGTATTATCTGCATACTTTCTTACTAGTATATGTCTTCCTAACCTTAATGGGAAGAAGCATTGTACTCCTAGTACCCAGAAAAGAGATGGACTCAATTTATATGGTTTTGGTGTGAGCGTTTATTTTTTCATTACCACGTTTTGATTAATTTGAAACATGATTTGGATTCACTTCTACTGCTGTCCTCTATCCCCACTCCTAGTTAAGTGCAGAGTTGACAGTAATTTTAGGTCAGTCTTCCACTTTTATAAAAGGGAACAGATATATCCAGAGGTTTTATTCCAGTGATTGCAAGGACTCAAGCAAATATATATACCAAAATTTGATGATACAGGACCAAAAGATATATCAGTGAGCCAAGAGCATGTTTTGTATGCAGGAAACCCAGGTTTGTGTTGCCCCCAAGAACAAAAAAAAAAAAAATTTTCAAACAAAATTTTATAATATGGGTTTCTTCTACCACCATGTGTAAGGGATGTGGGCAAGTTTACCGATGTGGGCAAAGTTTTGCCTATTGTTTTACCTGTAATTTTATTGAAAATAATTGTGCTTTTGGTTAAGAAAACATTATTCTCTTTTCTCTAATATGTTCAGCAGTCTTAACCACATCAGTCATAAGATTAAAGATGTGAAAAAATGGATATCTTAGTCCTCTAATTTCAAAAACTTCTTGTTCTAAGGATGCAAGTATAGTTTTTTTTTTATCAAAGTTTCATCTCTTGATGTCAAGAGAGGGGTGCGGCAGGGTGATACCATTTCACCGAAACTCTTCAGTGCCACCCTCGAGAACATCATGCGACGACTGGAATGGGAAGGAATGGGAGTGAAGATAGATGGTCGGCAACTACATCACCTCCGCTTTGCTGATGACATTGTTTTAATAACACCAAACATCAGCCAAGCGGCACAAATGCTGGCCGACTTTGACCGTGAGTGTGGAAAGGTAGGACTACAGCTGAATCTTACGAAGACAATGTTTATGAGAAACAGCCTCGTTCCTGATGCCCCATTCGCTCTCAACGGAACGACCATCTCCGAATGCAACAGCTATGTGTACCTAGGTCGAGAAGTCAACATGACAAATGACCTGGCACCTGAGCTGTGCAGGAGGAAGAGAGCGGCTTGGAACGCCTTCAAGAACGTCGAAGAAATAGCTAAGAGGACGAAGAACCTCCGGCTCCGGGCACATCTCTTTGATTCCACTGTTCTTCCTGCATTAACATATGCCTCAGAGACCTGGGCCCTACACAAACAAGATGAGAACGCCATTCAGGTCTCCCAAAGAAGAATAGAAAGAGCTATGCTTGGAATATCACGTTTCACTCAAATGAGAGAACGAATCCGGAGTTCTGACATCCGTCGACGATCAAGGATCAGGGACGCTGTTTCGTTTGCCAAGGTGTCGAAAATCAGATGGGCTGGTCACGTAATGAGATTTAAAGACGACCGTTGGACTAGAGCTGTTACTGATTGGATTCCACGGGATGTCAAGAGACCGCGTGGCCGCCCACCTACCAGATGGTCAGACTTCTTTGTCAAGATCATGAACGATCGGTTTGAGGCCCTCCATGTTCCCGGAGCGAAGAGATGCCATTGGGCTACACTAGCACGCGACAGGGACAAATGGAGATGTTACTGGCGCCCGCTCGAGCAAATCGACGACTAACGGGAAGTTAAGTGATTTAAGTGAAGTGATTCATCTCCCAAACTTCTGACATCATTAAGACACTTTCCTGGCATGCTGTTGCAGCCGCAGCCTTGGTTCAAATCCCAGCACTGCATATGCTCTCTCATGAACCACCAGTATGACCCAAAAAAAAACAAACCAAAAAGTTATGGTCTACGTATAAAGGCCAGGGTTCAATATATGGTTATGGGGGGCTGGAGGGAGAATGAAAACCATCTAACTAAATTGCCAGATTAATGATTACTTTATCTATAAATCGCTTTTAATCCAGTGGCTGCAAAGCTATAGCACTCCAATGATATCACACACATTTCTCCCACCAGTTGCTTTGCTTGCCTATCAAAAGTCTTCATTTGTCCCTAATCCTGTTAACACTAATTTATTCTGATTATGTCATCTGAATGCAAGTTAATGAAATATGGATACCAAAAGAGAGTTGCTGTTCTTACAAAACTTGATGAACTGCTTTTGGGTTTTGGATCTCTTTGGTTTTCATTTAGGGGCCTTGACCATTAATAGTTGGGTGTTCCTCCTGGCATTGTTCAGGAGACCATGTGCCTGGGATCAAACCCGGGGCTCCTGTGCTGAAAGCATGTAGCTATTCCAGCCCTTTGAGCATCTTCCCAGCATTACACACACACACACACACACACACACACACCCTCTGTTTGCAGTGGTAGTGTGACAGGGGTTAATCCCAGGACCTTACACATGTGAAATATTCACTCTACTACTGAGCCATATCCCAGACCTTCAATAAACTACTTTGAAATAGTTACAGCAAAAAAAAAAAAAAAGGAGAAATGAGGGAAAGGGAAATTGCAGTGGATCTCTGATCTTAAACTTTTTTTTGGTCAAACACTAAAAAACTCATCTACCCATTATAAATGTATAGGAAAATGGAAAATGGACCGGAGGTGACACAATTACCAAAACCTTTGCCTTACAAGCGGGAATTTGATCCTCACTGTTGCATGATCCTGGCAGCTTCGGTATTTGTGCTTGGCAGCTCTTGGGATCTCCCCCACACAAGGAATTTCTAGCTGTACCACAACCAGGTACATGCAAGTGTCTCAACTAAAAGAATGTGACTCCAGTTCGCACTAGAGCCAAAAGTATGGGTGAGCACTGTGTCCAGGAATACAACTCCCAAAGAGCACCACGGCCAAGTTTATGACCAGAAGAACACCACAGCTAAATGTAGAAGCACAACCAAGCATGAATATTACATAGGACATTGCAGCAATATCGGCAGGAGAAGGGCAGGAATTAAGCAAAGGAAGATAGTAATGCTCATATTTATTTCATACACTCTGATGTAAAACAATGAGAGCAAAGTTATTTCTTTGTAAAAGAAAACTTGGTATCAAATACGCATCAAGTACTTCTCAGTGTATTATTTACAAGTTGAGCATCTTTTCTACACCTTGACTAATTATATATAATGCTTTATAAATTTGGTTCAGATTCCAACATTTATCTTTTAGATTTTCAGTGTCAAGTAACATATCTGAGAAATCCTCTAATGTTCAGTTATTTACTAACATCCTTTCTTCTGGGACATCTTTAGCCTTTTTATCACAACACTTCTCATGTATATCAATTAGTTCTCCTTCGTTGCCTTTTTCTGCTTTAGAGTTTCTCAAAGGCAGTGCTGACAGCATTCCCAGAGTTAGCTGTTTCTTTATAATTCTGTTTACATTCAATTTGACTTTCAGCATATGAATTTGTATTTCTCAGGTGCCTTCAGTTTTACTATCTAATTCCCTTCTCAGTTATCCATTTATGGAAAATTTCTTGTGGATTTATCTTGGGGACACTGAGGAAACAAAATTACACACTTTGCAGACTGTGAGCTGAATATCAAGTGCACGGTAACCAATCACCTGGAAGCTTTGAAAGAAGACATGTAAATGGGTCACTAACTATGATGTGCATGATATTTTCATAGTGATTTATGGACTGAAGAACTTTGTGCTTTATGCTATTACACAGTAACTGAAATTTAAACCATGTTGTCAAAGTTCTTAGATGACTTAATCAGTAGTTACTGAAAGTCATGTACAAGACTGTCAAAAGTAGG